AATATACCACATTAACACAATCAAGGACAAAAACCACATGATCATCTTAATAGATGCATAAAAAGCATCTGACAAACTCCAGCATCCACTCATGGTTTAAAAAAAAAAAAAAACAACCTAGAGAAGATTGGAATAGAAAGTATCTTGATTAATTTTCTCTCATTGCTGTGACAAAATACCTGGCACCCAAAGTTAAGGAAAAAAGGTTTACTTAGCTCACAGTTCACAGAGTTTCAGTCCATAACCAGCTGGTTACAAGGCAGGTGGCATGGCAGAGAGGCAGCAGCTCATGGTGATAAAAGACAACAAAAGCAACAAGAGCCAAAAGGGAAGTTACCGAATCTCGTTTCCTCTTTATACTTTATGCAGCCTACCTGTCTGCACTCACATTTCCCTGCCCTCCTATGCACAAGTTCTAGATATTTACAAAGTGATGACCCCTGGTCCCCTACTGAGCCACCTAGTTAAATTTCTAAATTTCTCAAGCTGACATGATGAGAAACATGCTAGAGTGGCAAAAGCATGTCCTTTACATCCTATGATGTAGAACTGATGAGTTACTTAGTTAAACTTCTAAATATTTCAGGTTGATGCAATGTATAACGATAACAAAGTTTTTAATCAGTCAAATAAAAACCATCCAAGACAAAACAATAGACAACATCACACTAAATGGTGATGGGAAAAAAATGCGTTTCACTCTAAAATCAGGAACACAACAAAGATGCCCAGTATCACCTCTCATATTCAATATAGTCCTGGAAACATTAACCAGCACAATAAGACAAGAGAAAGAATAGGAACAAAGAGAAAAAAATAAGTTAAATGATCATTATTTGTTGATGACATGATGCTCTACACAGAAGATTCCAAAAGACTTCTAGATTTAATAACCAAGTTCAACAATGTAGCTGAATATAAAGTCAACACACAAAAATCAAATGGATTCCTATACATAAATAATAAGATCACTGAAAGAGAAAGGAATAATGCAACACCTTTCACAATACCATCAAGAAAAACAAAACAACAAACCAAATGAGAAATTAGCAAACCCCCATCCTTCATAACAGCATCCAAAAAAATTGAAATACTTAGGAGTCAGCCTAACAAAAGTGAAAATCTATGCATTGAAAATTACAGTACTCTGAAAAAAGAAGATTGAACAGAATATCAGAAAATGGGAGGGGCTGGGAATTTAGCTCAGTGGCATAAGCACTTGCCTGGCAAGCATGAGGTTGTAAGTTTGACCTCGGTACCAAAAAATGAATATTGGTGATTCAGGGGTAGAGGATTTAGCTCAGTGGCACAAGCACCTGCCTGGCAAGTGCAAGATCATGAGTTCAATCTCTGGTACCAAAAAACAAATAAATAACAAAAAAAATGGAGTGATATTCTGTGTTCATGTATAGAAAGAATTAACACTGTTAACTCTGTATGACTCTTAAAACTGTTACACAGATTTAATGCAATCCAAATCAAAATATCATTAGCATACCTCACAGAACTAGGGAAAACATTCCTAAAATTCATTTAGAGCCAAAAGAGACCACAATAGCAAAATCAATTCTGGGCAACAAAGGCAAAAAAGGAGGTATCACATAAAATCCCTGACTTGAAATTATACTACAAAGCTACTGTGATAAAGTCAGGATGGTACTGTTGAAAAACAGATTTGAGGATAGGTGGAACAGATTAAAAGATACAGACACAACTACAAACACACTCAGTCACCTTATGTTTGATGAAGGGGCCAAGCTAAAAGAAAGATACCTTCTTTAATAAATGGTACTGGAAAAACTGGCTTTCTCCCTGGTGAAGACTAAAACTAAACCCATGTCTACCATTATGCACTAAAGTCAAAATGGATCAAAGATCCAAATATTAAAACAGAAAAACTCAATCTAATGGGAGAGAGAGAGTAGATAAAAATCTTAAAGACATAGGGGTAAGCAATGAGTTCATGAACAAAACCCAAATTGCACAGGAAATACTTCAAAGAATCAGCAACTGGGATCTTACCTTACTAAAAAGCTTTTTCACATCAAAAAATCATGAACAGAGTGAAAAGATAACCCACAGTGTGGGAAAAAAATTTTAGCCAATTGTCCCTCATACAAAGGACTTATAACTAAAATATATAAAGAATTGAAAATATCAGTCCTCCCAAATTCAAAAACCCAATCCAAAAATGGGCATCTGAGATGAATATGTACTTCTCAGATGAAGAAATATCAAAAAAAAAACCAAATATATGAAAAAATGTTTGTCATTTAGTTATTTGAGAGATACAAATTTAAAAAATATTGAGATATCATCTGGAAAATATTAGATGCCTTCCCCCCAAATTTAAAGACTCTATCCAAAAATAGATGTTTGAAATGATCAGACACTTCTCAGACAGAAAAGTACAAACAGCAAATAAATTTGTACAAAGTACAAACAGAAAAAAAAATTTTAACATCACTGGTGATTTGAGATTCCATCTCATTCTAGCATGAATGGCTATTACCAAGAAATCAAACAATAACAAAGTCTGGTGAGGGGTTAGGGAAAAAAATTCTTTACTGTTGCTGGTAATGTAAATTGGTACAACTAATATGGAAATCAGTATGGAGATTCCCAAAACACTGAAACTAGAAATTACATTCAATCCCACTATTCCTATTCTTGGTATTTTCCTAAAAGAATTGAAAGCATCATACCACAGCAATATATCCACACCCATGCTTCCAAATCTTGAAAACAGCCCAGATGCCCATCATCAGATAAATGGATAAAGAAAATGTGACTTTATATACAATACAGTAATACCCTGCCATAAAGTAGAATAAACTTGAGACATTTTTGGGTAAATGGATGCACCTTTAGACCACAATTTTTAGTGAAATAAATTGGACACACACGTTTAAATATCACATTGTTTCTTTTGTGTGAGGAACTTAATGCACAAATAAGGCCCAAAATGGACACTAGATACTGGGAAGTAGAAAGACAATGTTCAAATGGAAAGAGGAACAAAGGGAGGAGGAGGGAGACAAAAAGGAAGACAAGGGAAATAAAAGAGAAAAAAAGGTGAAAAATGGAAACAAAGCTTTTGTAAATAAGGGAGGGAAGAAGGATTGAAGGCAGAGGAAGAGAATGGGAAAAATGAGAAGAATCAACCTATATCATTTAAACGTACAAATTCCCTACAATGAATGTGGTCATTATGCATATCAAATGTGTGCCAATAAAATTAATTTTAAAAATGTATAACACCAAAGATAGTCAGAAAATAACAAATATTGATGAAGAAGTAGACAAAGTGTTTCTGTGTATAGCTGGGAAAATAAACAGTGCAGTCACTGTGAAAAACAGTAGGGAAGTTCATCAAAAAGCTAAAAATAGAATTAGTGTATGATTCAGCAATTCCACTTTGACTATACACCTGAAAACTAAAAACCAAGACTTGAATAGATATCTGTACATTAGATATATGTACATTAATGGTCATAATTTCATGATCCATAATAGCCAAAGAATCTTACAGAGCTTATTTAAAATAAAAGAGAGGGTGAGGAGCACATTATTGACTTTAGTAACAGATTCACAAATTTGCAGATTAACAAATCCAAAATGTGCAGAGTAGACCAGAAGGTTGGAAGCCTAGGAAAGACAGATACATGAGTCTTAACAAAGGCAACTTTGAGACAGAATTATCGTCTTTAACATCATTTTTTGTAGAGACCTTCAAATGTTTGACTGAGACCCATTCACATTATAAAAGCATATTCAACCTACTGATTTAAATGTAAATCTTATCTAATAAATATCTTCATAGAACCATGTAGAATAATGTTTTGCTAAATATCTGAGTACTGTGCCCACATCAGATTAACACATAAATTTAACTACCAAATTCATCCACCAATGGATTCATGGATTAACAAAAGCTGCTATCCACATACAAATGAATTTTGTTCAGCTAATGAGTATAGCCTCTTCAGTTTGAAAAGATGAAAAGCTCAGGGCATAGATGACTATAATGACTGCAAAACAAAGTTTTCAATGAGTTTAATGCCATTCAATTGTCCTCTTAAAAATGTATAAAAATGTACATAAATATGAATACATAGATAATATAAATAAATGTGTTTGTATCATATATGAAATATATTTATGATAAACATATAAAACACCACAGTAAAAGATTGATTATTTATAATTAGGCTTTACTGTAAGACAACACTATATTAAAATGCTTCACATGGCTTCTGTCTGGTAATGTCTTTTGATAGCCCTATTTTATGTATGCTAAAGCATCCTAGAGAAAGTGACTTGCTCAAGAATCACACTAACAAGCAGCAGATCTCAGATTCAAACCTTGCTACTCTGACCAGAAAGCTCTGTACTTGATTATTTCATATGATACAGTGAAAGGGGTGAATACATAAAAGTAATGAAACAAAGAACAAGTTATAATTTTTTCCAAGTAGTATTTTAAAGTTGCTTCAATATCTAAAAAATTTAAGGAGTGAATTTTTTAAAAGATTTCAAATCGAGACTGAGTATGAGTAATAACTTTATTCCTAAAATAACCCTTCTTTGATCTTTATCATAAAATTTTCTGCCCCTAATCCACTATTTGTCCACAAAAAAGGATGAGGAAAAAAAGTTCAAGAAGTAGAAATGCAGTGTTTACATCACATCGGTCCCATTTTTTTAACAGGCTTTGCAATACTTCATAGTTTCTATATTTTTAATAAAAAATATTGTGGTTATACTTTCCTTTCTTAGATGGGGGAACAATCATTTAACTGACATTTATTGAATGTTTACTGTAGGGAGCGGCTCAGAATGGCAGCTGCTGCCCTGCCCCTCCCACCTGAGGGCATTTTGTGTGTCAGCCTACATTTCCCATGATCCTCCCCTCACCTACAGTGCACATGACGAAAGCAACTTCCTGCTTCAGCCTACATCTCCCACAATCCCCTGCTGTTGACATCACTTCCACTTACCCATGTATGACTTCCTGCTGGTCTGATAGGCCCACGACAAATGAGAAGATCCAAGCCGGCCTATCCTGTAAGGTCACGTCCCCTTTGACTCTATATAAGCCATGTACACCTCCTGAATAAACGAAACTCGATTGGAATCTCATCCTGTCTCCATCTCTCTTTTCTCTTGCCCTGCCCTTCATCCCCGTCCCCTCTCCAGGCAAAGGCCCATGGACTGATCCGCGGGACGGATCAAGTGGCGTCCAACCATGGGGCAGACCTGGCACGAGGGATAATGACACAGGACCGTTCACGGGGGTAAAGCGCCGGCGTGACTGTTTCGGGACTTCATTCCTGTGATCTGTGCAGACGGCCACCGCCACCTTACGTCTCGCCTGAATCACGGTAAGTGAACGGAATTAGCATGGGCAAGCACTCAGTGAGCACAAATTGTTCATGAATGGCCTCAGGGAGGCAATCAAAATTAGAGGGATTAAGGTTAAGACAAAAGATTTGATACAGTAGTTTCAGTTTATACATTCAGTGTGTCCATGGTTCCCCCTAGAGGGTACCATTAATTTAAACAGGTGGAAAAGAGTAGGGGATGCTCTTAAAGATTATTATGGAGTTTTGGGCCCAAAAAAGATTCCAGTAACCGCTTTTTCATATTGGATTTTAATCTCTGAGCTGCTGGCACAATGTCATGCAGATCCCCAGGTCGCGGAGACGCTCGCCCAGGGTGAGGCTGCATTACCTGCCTCCTGCAATTGTACTCCACCACCACTGGACTTATCTAAGGTGCCCAGCCCTCCCAGCTCTGTGGTCCTTGATATCCTGGAGCCTTTTCATGATGGCGATGTGCCGCCACTCTCTTTGTCTGGAGGCCATGAGGGTACTCAAAATGGCGTGCACCGCCCTGATACTCAAAATGGCGCTGCCTCCATACTGACTCTGGTGGTAAAAAAAAAAAAAAAACAGGGGCTGGGGATTTAGCTCAGTGGCATAAGCGCCTGCCTTGCAAACAGGTGGTCATGAGTTCAATCCCTGGTACTGTTAAAAAAAAAAATAGGGGCTGGAGGTTTAGCTCAGCAGCATAAGCGCCTGCCTTGCAAATAGGCGGTCATGAGTTCAATCCCTGGTACTGTTAAAAAAAAAAAAATAGGGGCTGGAGGTTTAGCTCAGCGGCATAAGCGCCTGCCTTGCAAGCAGGCAGTCATAAGTTCGATCCCCGGTACCGATAAAAAGGAAAAGACAAAAAAAAAAAAAAAAAAAAAAAAAAAACGGTGATCAGATGATGCAGAAGAAATTCATTCTAAAACCAAGTCAAGAAAACAACTGGGTTGGATCATGCTGAAAGGAGATAATATTACTCTGCTGCAAAGTGTCTCCAACTAGAAATGATCAGTGAATTAAGAAAGCAGTGAGAAGCAATGGCAGGCAATTAAGATAAATGTCAATTACAGTGTGTACCCATATAAAAAAGGCAGCTGATTAAGTGGTTTGCCTTGGGAGTATTTGTAAAATGTTTGTTCATATTGTTTTGTCTACCCTTATGTTTTTACTGGGGGCAATAAATGTAGGGTTGTTTTTATTTAAAAAGACAAAAAAAAATGGCACTGCCATGCTCCCTTCTCCATACCGCCCTGTCTACCCCGGAAATGGGAGCTTATCCATTACAAGTCGAGGTTAAAAAAAAAAAAAAGAAAGAAAGAAAGAAAGAAATGGGAGCTTAGCCGGTAGAATGACCAAGACACTTGGGTAGAATCACAAAGCCCATGGTTTGCGCCCACACCCTGTTGGTTCTTTCTGGGGCTGCAGTGTCCCAGACAAAGTCAATTCTACCTTTGTCCTACAGCAACAGGGGCAGATCATATTGTAATTCCCTGGGAGAATATTTTTGTGTTCGTTGGGGCTGCGAAACAGTTGCAACAGGGTGGCAACCCGCCCGCCTTCCCCGATAAACACCTTAAACTGACATGGGGGCCATTGGAGTGCAGCCTAGATGACTACCCACCAGCCAATCAAAGACCCTGTCAGGTTCTAAATGTCACTGTCACCACTCCTGAAGACCCTGGCTGGCTGACAGGACACACCTGAGTCAGACAAAGACAGAGGAAATCTTATTCTCATAAAAAGGTTCCCCTCCAGATTTCATCCGTGCCCATAGGCCCAAATCCTGCTCTAAAGCCAAAACATAATCCAAATCCAAAATACCATCAGTCCAATACAGATCCTATTACTGCTGTTCAAACAACCACAGTAAGTCACCCAACCATAAGGGTTTCTCAAGCCCCCCCACACCAGGCAGATCATATACCTGCCCCTCAATATTCACATTCTAACCTATTCAGTTTGATTAAAGGGGCATACATGGCTTTAAATCATACCCAACCTGATCTCACCCAATCCTGTTGGTTATGCTTGGCTGCTCCTCCCCCATATTATGAAGGAAAGGCCCTCAATTTAACCTTTAACAGTTGTTCTAGCTCATCTGCCTGTGACACCACAAGATGTCACCACAAGCTGACTCTCCTTGACATCTCAGGTAGAGGGACTTGTCTTGGGGACTCCAGCCGTCCACCAGCACTGGCAGCACAACTCTGTACCCAGCTTTATTCAGAGTTCAAGCCAAATAATTACCTCATTCCACCCCCAGGAATGTCTTGGGCCTGCAATTTTGGCCTCTCACCCTGTATAGCAACTACTGTTTTTAACAAGTCTACAGATTTTTGTGTTCTTGTACAGGTTCTTCCTCGCATAACCTTCCACCCAGGAGACTACTACCTCCAGGCATCGCAGACCGGCTATATATTTAAGAGAGAACCCGCGACACTCACCTTAGCTGTATTACTGGGATTAGGAGTCACAACGGAATAGGAACAGGGACTACGGCTCTAGTGTTGGGAAATCAGCATGTAGCTCAATTACAGGCAGCAGTAGATCAGAATTTAAAAGAAATAGAAACATCTGTGACGGCTCTACAGGCGTCCCTGACGTCTCTATCTGAGGTAGTCCTACAGAACAGAAGAGGGCTAGACCTCCTATTTATGAAGGAGGGTGGCTTATGTGCTGCCCTCAAGGAAGAGTGTTGTTTTTATGCTGACCACTTGGGAGTCATCAAAGAGTCCATGAGTAAACTAAGAGAGCACCTCAAAGAGAAAAAAAGAGCGCCTCGGAGAAACCACCTTCTCCTCCATGTGGGGGGGTCTCTTCCCTTACATTGCCCCCCTCTTAGGACCCCTAGCTGCCTTGCTGTTACTGCTTACTGTAGGACCTTGTATTTTTCAGAGGATCACGTTGCTCATTAATAACGTTAATAACAGGATTGACACATTTATGGCAAAGCCCCTTCAGGTACATTACCACCGGTTGGAAATGGCAGAACAACAAACTTATCGGGAAAGAACCCCCACTGACAACCCACATGATACTGTGGCCCAAATGCCCTGAGGCACTGGACAGGCAGCAAGAGACGGGCAACTAGGACACATATGTAGTGCCAATCGGCCACCTAAGACAGGTCCAGGACCAACAGCTGTCTGCAGGCTCATGATGGGTAAGGCTCAATTGGGTTCATATGAGGAGTCTTTGACCCAAGACAGGCACTGTCCTCCCAGGGCCTGCCATGTTCCTAAAAAATATATAAAATAATAAGGGAGGAGATGTAGGGAGCAGCTCAGAATGGCAGCTGCTGCCCTACCCCTCCCACCTGAGGGCATTTTGTGTGTCAGCCTACATTTCCCATGATCCTCCCCTCACCTACAGTGCGCATGACGAAAGCAACTTCCTGCTTCAGCCTACATCTCCCACAATCCCCTGCTGTTGACATCACTTCCACTTACCCACGTATGACTTCCTGCTGGTCTGATAGGCCCACGACAAATGAGAAAATCCAAGCCGGCCTACCCTGTAAGGCTACGTCCCCTTTGACTCTATATAAGCCATGTACACTTCCTGAATAAATGAGACTCGATTGGAGTCTCATCCTGTCTCCATCTCTCTTTTCTCTTGCCCTGCCCTTTATTGCCGTCCTCTCTCCAGGTGAAGGCCCACGGACTGATCTGCAGGACGGATTAGTTTACCATAAGTTCAAGTATTAGGGTGGATTCCATCCAAGATAAAAGATAGAGTGTTTCCTTGCAATGAGATCCATCTAATAATCAAGTGACATGTTTCCTGTCTCTGGGTGGACCACATTTCATACACAAAAGTCTGGTTGGTATTCTGGAGTCATAGATAGTCAAATGTTATCAATTCTGTCTGTTTAAATGTGTCTGTGCCTTCAGTAATGCTTATTCCTTGGACTTCTTCAATATCATGACCACATACAAGAGCAGTCATCGTTACTCCCACACCTGAGGCAGTCTAATGACTAAGGCTAGGTTTCTGGAACTAGACTGCCCCTTACTGTACCTGCCATTACTCACTAATTGTGAGCAAGTTTCTCAAGTTGTCTTTGACTCTGTCCCCTCAGTCATAAAAAAAAGGACATAAGTAGGTACCAACCCTCAATACCAAGGGCTAAGACATGTAAAACCCTCACAACATCTGCTATTAAATGGTCCGAAAATATGTGAGCGACAGACTGTGAGAAACAGACTGTGAGCAACAGGCTGTTCCAGGGACGAAATGAAAAGAAGAAAATAATCATCTAAGAGAAAAAGACCTTAGAGAACATTTCACAGATGATGGCACAGAGAACTATAGTGGCTCAGTGTCTTGCCTGAGGTTAGCCAGGTGGTCAAAAGCAGCATAAGGGCATCGATCTCTATCATAGCACAATGTCCTTAAGAAAGAGAAGCCAAGAGAATGTCAAAATTAGGTACATATTATAAATACTATCTAGAATAGCAAATTAAAGTTTAATACTAAATTATAAAATTATAAGTAAACTTTAAGATTGTAAGTATTAACATGTGACTACTTATGATGACTCCATTAGCAGGATGACAAAGTGTTTCTGCACACTGTTTATCTGGGGACATCGGATAGTTATAGCAATCATGCCCATGCGAAACACTTTGGAGTATGATCTCTTGACATGAAGTGGCCTGGTTAATGGTTCAGTGCTTTAGATCATTTAAATCGAGTGCCAAGACAACTGTCATAGAATGAATTCAAAACATGTGGCCTGGATTTACTACGTGGCCCTGCTTGGCCCAAACAGGAAGCCCCAAATTGAAGACACTGAAGCAGTGCATCGGCTGAGGAAAGCATGTTGGGTAGGGAGTAGAGAATGAACCCACAACATGAATTATTCCAGAAACATCTCTACTACGTCACTTCTGCCAGCTCAGTTCACCCACCTCTACCAGTCAAACTCGCAAACCTCTCCTCCATCTGGAAAGCTGTGTCATTCCCTACTCTTCTTCCACCTGCCAAGCTTTATTTCCACTCCCCTCCCACAGATGACCCTGAAGCCTCCAGGACAGCTCCACACTGTCTTTGTCCCGGTTTCCCCTTACTCCTGGAATACTACTACTGCTCTTTGATCCCACTCCAACTGAAACTGATTGAGAAACTTCTTTCCAGAAATGCCATCAAACAATAGCCTTTTAAAATATTCCCTGTATACCTAGAATCTTCTAGATGTAAGGCCCTTGATCAATTCCACCTCACTTCCCATGAAAGACTCACTCCTCTCTACGGGCTCTCACAGTCCTGCTATCAAGTACTCAGATTAAATGCTAGTTTCTAGCACAGTAGTCAAAATGACAACAGGGCAAACTGATGTACACCAGGGAAGGCTGGGAGGAAAGTCATGAATAATGAGCACAACGGCAAAGACCTACCAAGTACTAGATGTTCCTAAGTGTGCATATGTGAACTCAGTCCTGTCCACAACCTCCTGGAGTAGATGCTATGATTCTTAGCACATAATGGAGCAAGAAACTGAAGCACAGATTTGCCAAATAATTTGCGCCAGGTCACACTATGAGGTTTCAATTGAAACTGAACAGCTAGCTCTAAATATTATTTCTCTGCACCGATATTCCTTCTCAGCCACATCTCCAAACCCATGTCAGTTGTTCCACCTTTTTATGTACACTACCTTTCTGAATCAAAACACACTCTCCACCACATATAATTTCAGTGCCAAATTCCAACCTAGTGCTTCGTGAGCCAGAAATTAAAATTCAGTTCTGGTTAGATCTCCCATGGAAGTAAATAACATGTAACAAAATGTCAAATTTAAAACCTTCTTTCTTTCATACGAAGAAAATTATAGATGTTGCAGATACATCTATACCTCAGCAATATATCTAGCTCAACATTTTCCTTCATTCCATTTCTAAATACTGAAATATAAACCATAAATTTCAAACATTTCAAAAATTTCATACATTTCAAACATTGAAATGTAGCAATCACTGTGATTATTACCTTGATAGAATTACAAGTTGAACATACAATTATAAGTTTATGGATACACTGCCATGTATTTACTTATTTTTTTAACAATCATAAAAGTGTTTGGATCCTGCACCGGAGACAGGGGCAAACAGAAAACACACATATTTGGATTACAATTAGACTAACTTTAAATGAAAGATGACAATTCCCTATATAAGCCAAATTTTAAATACTTTAATATCAAACATCCTATTAAAAGAAGCAAAAGTTGTATTAATTCTGAATAAGCCAGATAACTCTCTCAATCTTCCATCGAAGCAGGCAGTAGAGGATGAATAAAGATTTCAGTCTTTACAAATGTATACAATGTTTTCGCAGGGAAGAAACAGAAAAAAAAAAAACATCGTTCAATTTTGGAGTTATGAGAGGCTTACAGTAACATACCAATCAAACTTTTATTTCCGGCAAACTTTACAGTAGCAAACCACAAAATATAAAAAGTAGACAAACTATTTAATGTTTGCAAAACAGATGAATAGGAAATAAAATGTCCGTGTCGTGTGTGCCATCAAGAGATATTTTTTCTCTTCTAATGAGACAAGGATGGTGAGAACAGCAAAAAGACAGGATAGAGATCACAGCGGGAGAAATATGATATCCAGCACGTATTCAAAACTTACCCAGCTTGCTCTGTTTACCCAAACTTTATTTTTCTAACTTTGCCAGTTTAAAATCAGGCCGCGGCTGGGCTTTTGTTGTTGCTGTTTCTGTTCTTTTGATCCCAGAGCCCTCTGAAAACTAAACTATGTGTTGGACGGGCCTAGCCCTTTTCTCATGGGGGTGTGGGTGGGGGAAGTTTCAACTTTGGTGCCCTGGTTGCTTCTTGGCGAAACTGAATAAATAATAAATAGCTAGCAGGAGACGACGTGGGGGACGTGCCTAGGTGACGTCCTGCCTCCGAAGAGGCTACACAGCCTCCTAGCACAGCTGTCCAGATGTGCTTCATCTGGTCCCACCGCGGGTAACCGGCGGGAGCCGCCCCGGGCTGGAAGAAGCCCCAGCTCATTGGTGGCCTCGGCTCCGCGCTTGCAACCCATTGGCTGAGCGGTCCGACACTCCTGCGGGCCTCAGGCCGCCCCCGCCCACCGGGCCAGCTCGCCGCATCCTCCTAAGGAACCTGGAAGTGCGGTGCTGTCGCTGATGTGGCACTGTGGCTGCAGGCTCAGGAGCAGGCGAGAAAGAGCCGCTGGACTCCCAGAACTTGCTGCTGTCTTGTCAGGCCCATCCCCTCAGGTAGTTAGAAGTACTAGTTTAAACAGGATGACTTCTGTCCGTTTGGGTGATGAAATGGGCCAAGCCTCCTGCCCTTCCCTGTGGAATTTGCAGGCCTCCAATGGGCTTTCAGGCCACGCCTCTGGCTTCACCCTCCCCACTTTCTTAAGGGAGCAAATAACAGGGTTTAAGAGCCTACTCTCTGCTGGCTTTTCTTGGACAGTTAATGAACATATCATTGAACTGTTTATTAACCAGAAAAACGATGGCTTCTGCATAGAAGCCCAAGCCTAGGTACTGAAGTGACTCAATGGACATGGTTGTGGTTTGTGTTGTTTTGGGTGTGTATGTACCTGTAAGTTGATAGTCATAGGAAAACAAAAAGTGTTTCTTTGTGAGAATTGAGAAAAGACTGCAGCAAAGGAAGCTTTGATTGGGGGAAGTGACTGAAAAATCTGAGGGCAGGATAAAAGAGATCTGCAAATTAATTGATATTTTTCTGTGCAACTGTTACTACAAACCTGTCCTCATTGTAATATTAGCAAGCTCAGAGCCCCCACACAGTGGGCTGCACACCATGAAAGTGCCAGGCCCTGTGCTAAACAGCTTTCACCTGCATTATCATATTCAATTCTCATGTACACCCCATGAAGTAAGTATTATAACCTCTGTTTTCACCTAAAGAGATCAAGACTCGGAGCCTATCCCAGACAGCTACATATGCCTCCAAACAAATGTTTGCATTGTTTCATTACAGATACAAAAATTCATCTGTCGCCAGTGTGAGAGTCAGAATTTATTAAGTCCCTCTCCTTTCTGATGTGCAAAGCTTTCACTAACAGAGTGAAGAGACAATCCACAGAATGGGAAATAATAATTTTTACCAGCTATTCTACAAAGGACTAATATCTCGAATATATTTAAAAACTCAAAAAAAAATCATACCCTCCCTCCAATTAAAAAAATGGGCATCTAAAGTGATTAGACTCTTCTCAGATAAGGAAGAACAAACAGCGAATGAATAAATAAAAAAATGTTCAACATCACTGGTCATTCAAGAGATGCAAATTAAAGCACTGAGATTCCATCTCATTCCACAAAGACTGGCTAGCATCAAGAAATCAGCGGATAACAAAGGCTGGGAAAAAAATGAACCCGTCTCCACTGTTGATGGGAGTGTGAGTTGGTGCAATTAATATGGAAATCAGTTTGGAGATTTCTCAAAAAACTGAAACTAAAGGTTACATTTGACCCTAATGTTCTCCCTCTTGTTATCTTCCTGGGAAAATTAAAAATTTCATACCACAGCAATATATGCACACCCATGTTGCTAACAGCAAAATTTGTAATATCTAAATCTGGAACCAGTACAGATAACCATCACTAGGTAATTGCAAGAATAACAATTATATACATGACATATAACTTATAGTATTATTTATAATGGTCACCCAAGGAATCAAATACAAAGAAAGTCAGGAAATCTGTCCACAACACTAAAGACCTAGAAAATCCAGCTGAGAACCTAGATTCCATGGCAATAACCTGCATGAGTTCAGCTGAAAACCTAGAGCCCATGACAATGACTCGTGCAAGTCTACTCCGTGGCTCCGTGGAAGCCAATGTGACAAACTTCTGGAGATTAAAGAGCACACGTCTTCCCCTCTGGAGCCAGGAAACAATACTCAAAGTAAGGACCAAAGCTCCCCCAAAGTGAACCGCAGCCATTCTCAACAACAAGGTCCTAAGCTCCTCCGATGATAACACCTGAGTGCATTTCAGGGGAGCCAGCAAGACAAGCTCCTCCAATAAAGTCAACAATATTGCTCTTCCTCTCTAGTCAACAGCAACACTGAGGAGAACCCACAATGCTTGTCTTCCTCTCCAGGCCTCCTTTTTATGCTGGCAACAGTCCTCAGGAGGGCCATCCACACTCAGCACCACGCTGATTCAGTTTAGCTGGTGTTTAAGTTGACCCCCAGTTACCAATACACTATGGATGGGTAAGGAAAATACAGTTTTTATAAACTACTATCCTGTCATAAAGAAAGATAAACTTCAGACATTTTTTGGTAAATGGATGTAACTTTATAACATAGTTTTAAGTGAAATAAATCAGACACATGTGTTAAAATACTGCTTTCTCTTGTGTGAGAAACTGAATGCTAAATAAAGACCAAAATGGGGACTAGATACTAAGAAGTAGGGAAAAAGTGTTCAAATGAGAAGAGGAACAGAAGTGGAGAGGGAAGGAAGGTAAAAGGAAGCAAAAGAGCTTAGAAGAGATAAAATACAAACAAAGCATTTGTAAATCAGAAAGACAGGGAAGGTTAAAAGGAGGGAAAGGAAATGAGGAAAGAAGAAGAATCAAGATATATTATATGGTAGTACAAACTTTGTATCATGAATGTAATAATATTGTGTATCAAAACTGTACCAATAAAATTAATTTGAAAAGACTCCAAGAAGAGGCAATTCTGTTAAATTTTTTTATTTTTTATTTTTATTTTAAAGAGAATAAAACCAAATGGGAAAAAACCAACTGGTGTCAGTCAAAACAAAAAGATGGACATAGTACATGACTTAAAACCAAAATACGGGGCTGGGAATTTAGCTCAACAGCATAAGCGCCTGCCTTGCAAGCAGGCAGTCATGAATTCAATCCCTGGTACCGATAAAAAAATAAAAAAGACCAAAAAAAAAAAACAAAAACAAAAACAAAAACAAAATACAAGGTGATCTACAATGGTTACAATGATGTCTCTTGTTATCTTCAATAGAATTGCCCATAACATCAATCACAATAAAACTGAATGTAATAGTACAGAACCAAATCAATAAGAACAAAACACTGGAGACACTATAGGACTTCAAATGAAGGTAATAGTCAAACCAGAATGGGTATGAGAGTGAATCTTATTGTCTTCAGAGTAGTTGCCTTTACTCTCAGAATTGATACTATCAAATATAATAGATTCAAATAAAATCAGTCAAGACAAGACAGTGATCAAACAAAACAGATGCAAATAAAATCAGTTGAAACAAGACAGTGAAAGCAATACAGAGCTTCAGATTAAGTTAATAAGAAATTAAAAATGGTTACCATAGTATATCCTGCTATCTTTGGAATAGCTGTCCATGCCCTCAAGTCTAGTACAAGTAGACAAACCGGAGCAGAATATAAGCAAACTAGAGTGATGAAAACAATATGGGTTTCAAATCACAATACAAGATAATGTCCTCTGCCTTCCTTTTTTAGATAATTCTCCCCTTTCACTTTCATAGGGTGCATTGTATATTTTGGATCTCACTAACTCCTTTAGTTTTTAGATTAGGGAGGCAACCAGCTATTTACTTAAGTGGTTCTGAACATTTTTACCCCTGAGGTTGGTCTCAAGTTGTATCTATTTAGCTACAAGAGCCTCAAGGTTTTCCTTCCGTATAGCTGAGTAGTTCTCCAATGTATAAAAGTGCTATGTCTTTCAACCAATCTGTAGCTGATGGGTGAGCTACCCCAGTTTTTTTCTGGTTCCCTATCACATAAAGCATTATTTTCTTATCTTTGACTTTCAGTCCATAAACCTTCTTTCAGCTTAATTATATTTCTTGTATAGAGTATCTTGATGGACCTTATCTCCTGATCCACTCTGCCTGTATTTCTTTTTATTACTGTATCAAGGCCATCCAGTTAATGATTATAGCCAACCTTCTCTGCCTCATCTCTGCCATGCTATTTTTCTGTCATTATTTGTCTATTTTTCCCCTTCATTTTAATGTCTACCCCATTCAGTGAGCACCCTCTGCTGCTTTTCCTGAAACCATGGTCTTTTTTTCTCTCTCTCTCTAGTATGTCCTTCAATATTTTTTGTAGGGTTGAATCATGAACTCCCCCAGTTTCTTTTTGTCATGAAAACATCTTGTTTCTCCATTAATTTTGAGAAATAGTTTTTCAGGGTACATCAATCTGGGTTGGAGGTTATTTTCTTTCAGGACTTGGAATACTTCACTCCAAGCTCTTTTTGATTTGATAGTTTGTATCAAGAAGTCTATCATGGGGGCTGGGGATTTAGCTAAGCGGCATAAGCACCTGCCTTGCAAGCAGGCAGTCGTGAGTTTGATCCCTGGTACCGATAAAAATGAAAAAGACCAAAAAAAAAAAAAAGAAGTCTATCATGATTTTGATGGGTTTTCCTTTATGATCTATTTCTTTTCTCTGATAGCTTTTAATATTCCGTCCTTGTGATGAATTTCTGGGATCATGATTATTATATGTTTGGGTATAGATCTATTTTGGTTATAGCTGGCTGGAGTTCTGTATACCTCATATATCTCAATGTTATTTCCTTATCCTATGCTTAGGAAGTTTTCTTTATTTCTGTAAATAGCCTTTGTATTTCATTTGTGTTTATCCTTGCTTCTTCACTCACATTTTTTGTTCTTAAGTTATAGATCCTCTTGTCATCTTCGAGTCATTGTATTGTTACATCCTGGTTCCTTGTTATTTTTAAGAGATATTTCCTTTCATGATCACACATTGCAAATCTGTCTTCAAGGTTTGATAGTCTATCTTTAGTTTTTTTCAAGAAGTTTTGCTGGTTTTCAGTGGAGTTTTTAATTTCCTGATAATCTCTTTGAATCTGTTTCATGTATTCTAGATTTTTTTTTATATTCCTCATCGAAGGTTTCCCTCCTTTTTCTATGCTCCTCCATTCTTCCATCTGTGTCTTCTTGAGAGGTGCTTAACATTTCTTTTATTATTTTTCTTATATCTTCCTTTACTTATATTAATATTTCTGTTTTAAGTTCTTTTATAATTTCACAATCTTTCTTTAGAAACTTCCAGTGTGCAACCCCCGATCTCTTCATGTTTACCTCTCCTGAGCCAGTGCTGTTTGGGTTGGAGGCTAGAGACTTCCTTTGTATATTCCTTTTGTCATGTTCCTGGTTTCTTCCAGATAAGTGGATAGTGGGTGTCTCCAGCACTTCCTGTATTGCTCACTATTACACTGGAGTATGCTGGCTAG